CTCAATTAACCTAGGGCCCCAGGATGCCTGACTGGGACGCACCAAAGGCCGGTGATTGACAGCCGCAGCTCTGGTTCTCTCCATCTGGTTGGCAAGTGGGACAGACTCAAGAGGAAGCAAGGTGAAGTGCTGAGGACCCTGGTGGAGTTAGCTGCTCTGCTCTGAGCCCAGGCACCTCCGTTGCAGGCCTGAGCTCTCCTGTTAGCTGAGGTGGGGGCGGGGGGGAAGCCCGCACAGGCCAACCTTTCACACAGCTGCTGTAGCCGTAGGTTTCCTGGTCTTCAGGGGAATGACATTTGTGTTTTCATTCAATTACTAACGCCAGTGCCTGGAGGATCCCAAATTGGACCCTCAGGAAGTCTGTCAACGACTGCGGACAGATCCTGTGGGATTTATACCGACTGAGGGGTCAGAGGGGCTGTGGGAATGGGGATGGCGAGCGGGGCTGTGGACAGATGCCTCGATTTGAATGTGGAAGAACCGGTAGAGGTTTGTCAGTGTGGAGGGGGCACTGCGATGAAGCCTTGCTTGGGGGCAACAGGCACATTCCGTCCTCCATCCTCAATGGGCCTGGCGGAGTCCCCTGGGCTTGCTCAGAGGAGGATGCGATTTCCTTCTAGGAGCCCGAGTCGCTGCCTCGGACAGCTGAGACCCTGCGCAGAGGCAGGAAGGGAGTGGCCACATGCCACTGTGTCCTCTCACCCCTGGGGTGGTGGTGTGGGTAGGAATCCGCCTTGCCCTGCTCTGTGATTCTGGAGAATACTCTTATAACTGGCCCGTCACCTGTCTGACTCCCTCATGCCGCCGCAGACTCTGAGCTTTTTGAGGGTGGGGCTGAGTTGCTCATTACCCACAGAGCCCTGTGGGACCCCAGATGCTGGGGCCAGGATGAGTCTCCTTGTGACCGTCAGGCCCCTCATACTGCTGTGCATTGCTTGGTTTGAGTGTTATACCAGCCCTGGCACAGAAACAGACCAGGGGGCAGAATTTCCATCTGAGGAGGGATCTGAGGCTCCCTTACGAGGCCAAGATGGGACTCGGGCCTCTGGGCTCTCAGTCCTTCCCAGCACCGGGCAGAGTGGCTGGGCACCCTCTGACTTGGCCTGGTCTGGAAAAGGACCTCCTTGTTGTTCAAGGAAAGGCAGCAGGACCCCGGCTGGGGCAGGCGTCCTCTTTCTCATCTGCAGGCAGGGTGGTGGGGCCCTCTGCCCACCACCCACCCCCGCCTGCCATCTAATCCCCGGCTGGATCGGATGACCTGCCTGGCATTCTCCTGGCTGGAATCTGGCGCTTCTGACAGCAGTTGCTATATTGGGGGAGCTGGGCACCGCCCTGGACGGTCTAGGTCCCCGCCCTCACCCCCTGCTTTGCTCTCATTAGCTTCAAGGCAGAGTCACAGTGGCAGCTTTGAGAGTTGGACAGCCAGGTCCCTGAAGTGATCTCTAGGCTCCAGGTACATGGGGTGAGATGGGGGAGGGCAGACCCAGGGTAAGAGAAGGAGCTTTGAAACCGCCATCTTTGCCCCTATCCTGGCCCCTCTTGGGGACTCCCAGACCCCTGCCTGCTAAGTCCTAGTTACAACAGCCCCGTGGGTGGTGGGATGGCAGTGGGGGTGAAGCCCAGGGACAGGAGAGGGCCTCTTCCTCTCCCAGAAAGCGCGTGCCCAGCTTCTCTGCTTACCTCTGTACTCCACAGCCCCGCCCGCCACCATTCCGTGCTGCAGGGACACCATGGCTCCAGAGGAAGACACTGGAGGGGAGGCCCTAGAGGGCAGTTTCTGGGAGGTGAGCAGATGGGTTTGGGGGTGGCACTGTAATGCCCACCCCTCTGGGCTCAGCCACCTATCTGGGGTTGTCTAGCTGGCAGCGCCAGCCCCGCAAGGGGCTTCTCCCTGGCCACTCCGCCCTTTCCATGTACACCCCAGGCTGGCAACTACAGGCGGACAGTGCAGCGGGTGGAAGACGGGCATCGGCTGTGCGGGGACCTGGTCAGCTGCTTCCAGGAGCGTGCCCGCATCGAGAAGGCCTACGCCCAGCAGTTGGCTGACTGGGCCCGAAAGTGGAGGGGTACCGTGGAGAAAGGTGAGCCGGCATATAGGCCTAGCTGGGAGCAGAGAGCTACCAATGTGGGGAGATCAGGCAGGCAGCTTCTTCTTTTTAATCCTCAACCAAGAAGTGAGGATATTTTCCCATTGATTTTTAGAGAGAATGTATGGGAGAGGGGAAGAAAGAGGGGTGGGGGGTGGGAGGGAGGGAGAGAGAGAGAGAGAGAGAGAGAAACATCGAATGGTTGCCTCCCATACGCCTCAATGGGGTGCGGAGGGGGTGCGGACCAGACCTGCAACCCAGGTATGTGCCTTTGACGGGGAATCGAACCTGAGACTCTCCGGTGCCAAGGCAGGTGCTCTAACCATTGAGCAACCAGCTAGGACTGGGGCAGCTTCTTTTTGCACCTGTGGTGGAAGGTTGAGGCTCTCATGTCTGCTTTCCTGTTAAAGGGAAGATCCTCCTGGTAATTCTCATGGCAGTGCTGTTAGCATTTGCTAAGCACAGTCACGAGTCATTTTGATATTTCTAACAACCCTATGATGGAGATAGTCCTGATCTACACATTTTCTAGAGGACATTTGGAAGTTCAGAGAAGCTAAGACTTGCCTGAAGCCACACAGCTAGGAATAACTTAAACTGGAGCCAGGCCTTCTGATATGGGATCTTTCCACCCTAACTATCGGCCTTCCCTGGGAACAGACACTGGTTCCTCCTTTTGAGGCAACAGAGTATAGAGGTTTATGCCACAGGCCTAGATCTGAATCTCAGTCCCACTTGCAGCTGCAATGCTCTGGGCAGTAAACTTCACTAGTGTGGGCCGCCGTTTTTTTCACTTAACAGTTGATCATGACACTGTCTTCATGGTGGTGGATGAGGCAAGGGTTTAGTGAGATCTGGTAGGTCAAGGCACAGAGTGGGTATGCAGTAAGCAGCAGCTGACATCGTTGCTCTTCTTTGCATCCCCACTGCGTGCCTGGCACCTGGAATAGCACCTAGGGGCGGGGGGAGGGCTCGTTTCTGGTGGCTTTCCTGGCCTGGCCTAAGTCCCATGCCTCCCTGCAGGCCCCCAGTATGGCACGCTGGAGAAGGCCTGGCACGCCTTCTTCACGGCGGCTGAGCGGCTGAGCGCGCTGCACCTGGAGGTTCGGGAGAAGCTTCACGGGCAGGACAGTGAGCGGGTGCGTGCCTGGCAGCGGGGGGCCTTCCACCGGCCAGTGCTGGGTGGCTTCCGAGAGAGCCGGGCGGCAGAGGACAGCTTCCGCAAGGCCCAGAAGCCCTGGCTGAAGAGGCTGAAGGAGGTGAGCCTGGGAGGGATGCGCAGCAGTGGCCTGCTCCTTACTAAGTCCACGGGCCCGGGGTGTGGTGTGCGGGGCCCAGAATTGTCCCCGTGTGTGCCAGGTTGAGGCCTCCAAGAAGAGTTACCACGGAGCCCGGAAGGAGGAGAAGACAGCACAGACTCGGGAGAGCCACGCGAAGGCAGACAGCACGGTCTCCCAGGACCAGCTGCGCAAGCTGCAGGTGCGGGTGGACCGCTGCACCAAGGAGGCCGAGAAGGTACCGCCATGGGATGGGCTAGCCCAGCTCAGGGCTTCCTGAATGCCTTTCCCAGTCCCCAGCACTCTTCCTGCTCTCGTCCTCACCTGCCACCCTCTCTCCAGATTACCATTTAAAGGAGGAACCTGAGAAAAGACGATGCTTTACCCAGGGAAAGAAGCGGTGCAAGTTCAGGCATTGGGATAATTTTAGCAGTTGAGACCTTCCCAGCTCCCTTCCTTTCCCAGTGTTCCACCTGGGACCACCTTTCATGTTGGTTGCTTTGACAGCGTGCCTTTTGCTCTAGCTCTGCATATCCAAATCTTCCCATCCCCCGAGGTGCTGGTCAGTTTCCTCCTCCGCCATGAAGCCTTCCCTGATTTCTTCCACCCCCTCCTGGGTGGACCTCATCTCACTCTTCATCCTCCATCTCTTCTTACTCTTACTTTTAGTCTTCACTCACCAGACTCTAAAAGCTGCTGTGCCCAAATGTCACCTCTCTTATTAGGCTGTTAGGGGCAGGAGCCAGACCTTGTGACTGGTTGCCCCTGGTGCCTAGCCCAGGGTCTAGCCAATGGCAGGTACTCAGTAAATACTAGCGGGATCATGAGTGGAAGGAGTTCTCGTGCTGACCAGGTCCCCTCCTCCCCCACCCAGACAAAAGCCCAGTATGAGCAGACGCTGGCAGAGCTGCATCGCTACACCCCACGCTACATGGAAGACATGGAACAGGCCTTCGAGACCTGCCAGGCTGCTGAGCGCCAGCGGCTTCTCTTCTTCAAGGACATGCTGCTCACCTTACACCAGCACCTCGACCTCTCCAGCAGTGAGAGGTATGGCCTGCGTGGGCGTGGAGATCTGGGGAACTGCTGGGTCTCTTCCACTCCCTTGGGCTCTGGCTGGGCTGAAAGAGATTTAAGGAGGTGCAAGGGCCCAAGGCTTCCTAGTTTGAGGGTTGTGCCTCGGGCCACAGGTTCCATGAGCTCCACAGAGACCTGCATCAGGGTATCGAGGCAGCCAGCGACGAACAGGATCTGCGCTGGTGGCGCAGCACCCACGGGCCGGGCATGGCCACGCACTGGCCACAGTTTGAGGTACGTGTTCCAGGTGGGGCTGGGAGATGGGATGGGCTCAGCCTGGACCTCAGGAGGGAGGCCAGGACTTGGGATGAAGAGGTGAAGGTGATTTGGATGGCCCTGGATGCCAGCACAGCCTGCAGCTCAGCCTGACCCTAAGCACTGTCCCCACAGGAGTGGTCCTTGGATACACAGAGGACAATAAACCGGAAGGAGAAGGGTGGCCGGAGCCCTGATGAGGTTACTTTGACCAGCATCGGGCCCACAAGAGATGGTGCTGTGCCCCCACCTCAGTCCCCCGTGTCCCCAGGGTGAGAGCCAGAAACTTGGTTGTTCAGCTCTGGCCCCTGCCCTGCCCACCTTTCCTTCATTCCCTTCACACCTGAAGTGGGTTGAAAATGGGTGTCAGAGCCATAGCCAGTTTGGCCCAGTGGATAGAGCGTCGGCCTATGGACCAAAGGGTCCTGGGTTCGATTCCGGACAAGGGCACGTACCTTGGTTGTAGGCTCCTCCCCAGCCCAGGCCCTGGTCAGGGCTCGTGCAGGAGACAACCAATCAATGTTTCTCTCACATCAGTGTTTCTCCATGTCTTTCCCTCTCTCTCTTCCACTCTCTCTAAAAATCAATGGAAAAATATCCTCAGGTGAGGATTTAAAAAACAAACAAAGAAAATGCGTGTCAGGGACCTTGGACATCCGGGGGCTGTAATGCCAGTTTTCATGGTGGTTTAGGTTTGCCAGGTGCCCCCCCCCCCCCCTTCCCTCTCACTTACTGCTCATGTCAGCACCGCGTGGCAGGAAGGGCACCTGAGCTCGCAGGCAGGCGTGGCAAAGGCCAGGCTAGACTCTTCCAGTTCTTCCCCACCTGCCTCTCCCAGGGTCCCTCCCGGGGGGGGGACCTTGACTGGGGGTCCCAGGCTCTCTCGGTCAAGGTGCTCCTTATGCCCTGAGCCTGCCCCTTCTGCCTCCCCTCTCCAGCAGTGGGCAGGATGAGGAGTGGTCAGACGAGGAGACTCCCCGGAAGGCTGCCACTGGGGTGCGGGTGCGGGCGCTCTATGACTACGCTGGCCAGGAAGCTGATGAGCTGAGCTTCCGAGCAGGTACCCTGGGACCCCTTTCCTGTTCCTTTCCAGGCTTCAACCTTCCCTCCCCATTTACTGTCTTGGACAGGGTGGGTGGCAAAGGGAAGCCAGACACCTACTTCTTAAGGGTCAGTTCTCTGACTCTTAAGGTTGCTCTGGGTCCAGTCTGCAGGAGTCAGAGTGTCTGCCTCTCGAAACCTCCAGCTGGGGTCCGACTGCTGCGTCCAGGGCCTGGGGTGGGGTGGCTGGCTGACTGGGACCTCCTGCTGCCTGAGCCAGGTCTCTTCCCCTAGCTGGATTCTCTGGGATACTGCCTGCCCCCCTCAGTCCTTGACCCAATTGCAGGAACGGGGCTGGGCCAGGGCAATTGGCAATGACCAACCCCCCTTCCCCCAGGGGAGGAGCTGCTGAAGATGAGCGAGGAGGACGAGCAGGGCTGGTGCCAGGGCCAGCTGCAGAGTGGCCGCATTGGCCTGTACCCTGCCAATTACGTGGAGTGTGTGGGGGCCTGACAGCCCTGGCAGCCCTTCTGCAATGTTTCTCCAGCCTGAGCCAGAGCCCAGCTTCTGGACAGCTGGACCCGAGGGCCCTGAACCTGTGCACCTGCTGTCCCTCTGTCCCCGGAGGAGGGAGGAAGTCCTGGGAGTCAGGGAGGGGAGGGGCCGACTGAGTCTAGGCTGTGGGTAATGGGAGGTCAGGAGGTCACAGAAGGGTTCAGGGTACCCCGGCCTCCCTAGGAGTGTTTGGTCTCCCCAGGAGCCATGGACCCAATTCCTGGTCTCTGTGTTTTGGGGTTCCTGGGGTGGGCTTGAGGTGAGTGTCGTTCTGAGCTAGCAACACTCTTTTGTGGCTTGTTCTAGTGTGTATTAAACTTGAAAAAAATAAAAAAGCATTTTCAGGCTTGTGTGCACCTTTTTTTTTTTTCATCTTTTATGATACCCCACCCTTGCCAGGCTGCAGAAGGCTTTGGGGGAGAGAGGCACTGAAGGGAGGTCCGTGGGCCCAGAGAATGTTACGGGGACGGGGGTTGGGCAAAGGTTGGCCAGATGGTACCCTAACCTTGGGTGGAAGAGGCTGGCCATCAGGCTTGGCTGGTGTGCGGCGGCCAAAGCTCGAGGCGGGGTGCCGACGTCTGAGCTTGGTGGGGGCGGCCCAGCCAGTTTGTCTTCCCTTTCGGGCCGGTGGCACCTTGTGCGCTTGGTAGGACTGTTAATCATTACTCACCCGCCGGAACCGGCCCCAGCTACGGCCCGGATCCCCGGACTCGCAGCTCACGCCCGCTGGGAGGCGACTCCACCTTCCGAGGGGCGGGGCCCGCCCCGCCCCGCCCCGCCGGCCGGCCCAGCAGGGCGCCGTCGCACCGCCCTGGCTGCGGATTGGCCCCGGCGGGCGCAGCGTGGGTCCGGCGTGGTTTGAGGAGGCGGGGCTCTGACGTGTCTGCGTCGGTCCCGCCGGCGCTCATTGGCCCAACTCATGACGAATCGCCCCACCCCTCGCCGGCACCTCGCGCCGCGGAGGCCGACCTCGTGCCCCGCCTTCGCGGCCGCGGATTGGCCCGCGACGGGGCCCGTCAGTCGCGCTGGCGTCTGGGAAGGAGAGAAAATGGCGTCCGAGCCGAGCAAGACCGAGATCCAAACCCTTTTTAAGAGGCTTCGCGCAATTCCGACCAACAAGGTGCCTGAGCGGGAGGCGCGCGGGGTCTAGCGCCGGCCGAGAGGAACTCTCCCGGCTCCCCCGGGGCCTGAGGGAAGGAGAGGGGGCGGACGTGGGCAGTTTTCCTGGGTGTCAGTGCCCGGCCTCCGCTCGGGGTCCCTGATCATCCGCTCATCGCCTCCTCCATCCAGGCCTGCTTCGACTGTGGCGCCAAGAATCCGAGTTGGGCCAGCATCACATACGGTGTTTTCTTGTGCATTGACTGCTCCGGGGTGCACCGCTCCCTGGGTGTCCATCTCAGCTTCATCAGGTGGGGTCTCCTTATGGCGGCTGTGTTTATACCTGGCCAGGGCTGTGCGCTCAGCAGGGCAGAGTGGCGACCTGGACGGTCCTGAAGTCGGTGTTCGGAAACCTCCCGGCCGGGGTCCGGTAGCCTCCCACGGGAGGGCATCGCCTGCGTAGACCCCTGACCACATAGACAGTGCGTTTCCGCGTCTGGGTCAAACTCCCTTTCCTGGCGGCCAAACTGGACTCTCCGAACGTTCGGTTTGGAGAAAAATTAGCTGCATTGACCTTGTCGTTGCTGACATATTGGTCGAGTACGTCTGAAGTGAGACCGGTGGTCCTCAAGTAGAAAGCCAGGTCCAAGCTTAGGGCCTGAGAATTCAACCGCCCTCTGATCTGGACAATAATTAATGCCCGTTTGACTCTGAGGCTGAGGAGCAGAGCTTCCGTGGGCAGGGAGCAGTGGAGGACATGGGGTGGCGGGGGTGCTGCCGCCCGAGACCACAGGCAGGCTGGGTCTGCAGGGAAGCGCCCCCTGCGTCTGCTGGTGACACGCAGCCTTGCACACAGGTCCACAGAGTTGGATTCCAACTGGAGCTGGTTCCAGCTGAGGTGCATGCAGGTCGGCGGGAATGCCAATGCGGTAAAGCCCCTCCCCGCCATCCTCTCTGCCCTCATTCTCCCGCCCGGGACTAACCTGACCGTGACCTCGGGGGAGGCCCCCCCAGTTTCACTGTTCAGAGGATTCTTTGGGCTATGGCAGCGCTGTATATGGTTCTCTAAGCGTGGAAATGGGTCACTGTTCCTCTCAGAGGGGCTTCAGATGAAAACTAAAGTGGACAGAGGTTCCCGGGGAAAGGCCGGGGGAGTTGGGGCCTCCAGCCATCTCGGGCTCGGCCTGGGTGGGTGGAGGCTGGGCACAGCGGGGATGGCATGCTGTCCTCAGGCGGGGTCCGTCATCCCCGGATGGGAGGCTGTTTTCTGCAGGGATTCCTGAGAATCTTTACCTCCGTGAAGAACTTTACCTCTCTTATGTATACAGGATAACATCTCCTGTAACTGGGCTGTTCGAAGGGGCTGCCTTTTATTTTGCTCTGGGGAGAATCACCTGTAGCACGCTCTCCTCTCTTTTTCTCCAGACAGCTTTCTTCCGCCAGCATGGATGCACAGCCAGTGATGCCAACACCAAGTATGATAGCCGAGCTGCCCGGATGTACCGGGAAAAGATCCGGCAGCTGGGAAGTGCAGCCCTGGCTAGGCATGGCACCGATGTGAGTGCCTGGTCCCGGGCTGGGGTAGTGTGATGAGGAGGGATATTCAGAGCCTTGTTTCAAGCGTGTCTTGTCCTTTCCAGCTTTGGATAGACAATATGAGTGGTGCTCCCAGTCACTCTCCGGAGAGGAAGGATTCTGATTTCTTCATGGAACACACTCAAGTGAGTACCCACAAGGACAGTTTCCCATGATTGCTGCTGACAGGTGGTTAACTGGCCAAGGCCTTCTGTGATCCTGGGCATGGATCCCATTCGCCTTGGTGTGATACCTCAGACAGGGAATGTCTGGGCTCATTGCGAGGCAGGCCCAGGTGTCTCCTCCTCCCGGAGTGGGTGTGCAGTGTGGCCCTCCTTAGGAATGGACCCCGTCTATAACCGGGTGCTAGGGAGGAGGAGAGGCATCTTGAAGGCTCTGGAGGCGTGGGGAGCCTCCAGCAGCTTTTCCTGGACTCTTCCCCTGTCAGAGAGGCACTTGTGGCTGGGACAGTGAAAGGAACCTCCTCGGAAGCCCACCCTGGGCGGAGGTTCCCCCTCTGTGAGACTCTGTCAGTTTGAATCCCAGCTCCTCTACTTGGCATTTCCAGGATGTGGCCAAGTCACTTAACCTGTCAAAACCCAGTCTTTGCAGTAGAGATGTATCTACTTTACAGTGTTTGTTGTGATAATTAAAGTTTTTGTATGTGAAAAGCTGTTAGACTTGTGCCTGGCACATCATAAGTGCCTACTAGTTGGTAGTAGTTATTAAATTAGGGGTGTGGGTCTGAGTAAACAGTGGAGGGGTGGAAGTGGCTGCTAGTTTCCTACTTCTTTCTTCCATAGTGAATGGCAACTATAATTGTACTCACTACCTGTCAGTCTCCTTTCCTCATGGGCTTGGAGTAGGGCCTGGTATCCAGAAGGTACTTGTAGGTTCTTTGTGCTCCCTGCAAGCTCATTGAGGTGTCTGTGATCTGGCTTCCTTTTCAGCCCCCTGCCTGGGATGTACCAGCCACCGACCCCGCCCCGTCTACAGAAAGCAGTGGATTGGCACGTGAGTTCAGCCCAGAGTCCAACCAGGAGCCTTGGTCCTGGCAAAGGCCTTGGAGTTGAGACATCTGGTCAAGGGAATAGGAGTAGGGAGTGTCCTATATCTCTGGGTGGGCTGGGATGCATTTTAATCCTTTGGAGAGAGTAATGGGCATTCCTTTATCTTTTGGTGGCCTCAGCTGAGGAAAGCCAGTGCCTCCTACTCTTGTCCCCTCATCTCCCTAAAGGGAAGTCACAGGAAGCTTTGAGCCTTATACCTAACTCCCACCATTGCATCCACAGAGCCGGAGCATGGCCCCAACACGGACCTGCTTGGCACCTCACCCAAATCTCTGGGTCAGTATGACAGTTGGTGGGGTGGGGTAACTGGGAGAGGCTCTTTTCAGATCTGCTGCTGCCTAGTCATATGGACTGAGGCCCCAGGACACTGAGCATCTTAGCTCTCTGGACTGGAACTGGTGTTGAATTCATGGCTTCAACATCAACTGCAAGGGCTTGAGAGCCAGGCCTTTGAATTGATGAACCTGGGTGGGTTGGTGTGTAAGGCCTGGGTCGGCCTCCTGGTATGGGGCTGGTTCTAGCCAAAGTGTGGAAAGGCCACCGTGAGACTGGACATCTAACCCTGAGGTCTGAGGCAGGGTTGGCCTTCTGGTCCATTTCATGGGATAGGGGGACAGCTCTGAGCTGCTCAAGGCTGGAGGTGACATTGTCCTTTCTTAGCCAGGGAGGCCTTTAGGTCTTTTCTACTCTTTAGTGTCCTTTGGTTCAGGGTGAACAGTCCATTTGCTGACCTCGGTTTGTTCTGTTGACCTTTGGGGGTTGGGGCAGGAAGCCAGCAGGAGACTGTCAGACTGATCACATGAGAAGGCTGGCATGACTTGGTCTAAAGCAAGGCTCTGTAGAGGCCTCTGGGCTTGGGAACTACATGGAGGCTCTGGGGTGGGCTCCTTGTTAGCCACAGTCTGTTTCTCTCCAGAGTCCATGTATCTGTCACCTAAAGGGGCCCTTCCTGCCAGAGGTAACCAACAGCCACTTGGGGAGCCTAGCCCCTTGCACGCAGCTCCCTGCTTCAGGAGCTGAGGCTGATGTTTGGCATCTGCCCCCGCCTAGTGGTCCTCATATTTGTTCAGGGACTTTGTCTCTGCTGCTTCAGGTCTAGTTCTTGTCTCAATCTGCTGGGATCCCTTAATCTTGTCTGTCTTAGGCTTAGACTATGCTGACACCATTAATTGGAACTGGTGGTGGCAGCTTTGCCTTCCCTGCCTGAAGCTATTCTTTTTAGAAGCTCTTGCCAGGAAACTGCATGGTGTGGACTGAACTGCTGCCTCTGACCGCCCTTTGTCTTCACTCATGCCTCACCTTGTTTCTCATGCAGAAATGAAAACCTCCCTCATTGGCAAGAAGAAGCCAGCAGCCACTAAGAAAGGGGTAGGTGGGGAGAGGCAGTATGGGAGAGTGGTCAGGAGCCAGAGTCAGCCTGCCTGGGTTCACCCCTGGGCCCTACCAGTCACTGGCTATGTGGCTTTGGCAAAGGTACTCAACTTCTCAGAACCTTATCTGTGCAAGGGCTGTGAAGATGCCTAGCTTCAAGGGGCTCCTGGAGGAGTCCGAGATTGTGCACATAGTGTGCTTGGGACATGCTGGTCTGGTAAACATCAGGCCCTGAGGCCTCTGCTGGGACTGTGTGAGTCACCTCAGGCCCAGCTCTAGCAGAGCCCTGTTCTCCCTCTCGACCATGCTAACTGGACTCCTATTTTTTTACCCTGGACTTTAAAAAGGAACCGTGTGGGTGTGCTAGAGTGCCTGGGAGGGAGCAGGGGACATTGTGGTTGGCAAGGCCCCGATCACATGATTCTCTTCCCAGCTGGGTGCCAAGAAAGGCCTAGGGGCCCAGAAGGTGAGCAGCCAGAGCTTCAGCGAGATTGAGCGGCAGGCCCAGGTGGCAGAGAAGCTCCGTGAGCAGCAGGTGGCTGATGCCAAGAAGCAGGCCGAGGAGTCCGTGTGAGTGTTTGCCAGAGGGGCCCTGGTTCCTGTGGGGTTGGGTGGGCAGGTGGGACAGGTCAGGATGGGTGCTGGCCTCTGACACGTTTATTTCCTCCAAGGGTTGCCTCCATGCGTCTGGCCTACCAGGAGCTCCAGATTGACCGCAAGAAGGAGGAGAAGCAGCTACAGAATCTGGAAGGGAAGAAGCGAGAGCAGGCAGAGAGGTTGGGCATGGGCTTGGTGTCCCGAAGGTGAGACTCAGCTCTGGGGTGTGGCATAGAAATTCCATTGTTCTCCCGGGAACCACTGCAGATTCTTCCCAGCAGTTTGGGGTTCTAGGCTTAGTCTTCCTTCGAGGCTGAGTAGATAGTTCTGTTTATTATCTTAAGGCACCTAGTACAGTGCTTGGGACAGTAGGTATGTGCTCACTATTTGTTGAATGAATGAAACTCAGGATCAGGTGCTCTTTCAATAGATTCAAGAGACTGGGACAGTGGTGTGTGTTTTTTGTTTGTTTTCTTTTCTTTTTTTCCGTGTTTCTTAATGGGAGTGCTGATGGCATTTGGGGGGGCAGTTCTGTATTTTTCAAGAACTCTGAGAACTGCAGGGCTTTTAGCATCCCTGCCCCTTGCCCACTAGGCCAGTGGTGCTGCCAGATACCAACACCTGGAAATAACCCCAGACACTCAAATGTCCTCAGGTTGGACAGTAAGCGTTCTGTTTCGGGATGTTGTGTTGCTGAGGTTTCTTAAAAACAAGGGCTGCAAACCAGTTTTGGTATGCATTTTGTTTGCTCTCCACTAAGAGTTAGTATCTGGAGGTTTCAGTAGTACTAGGTTTTTTATCTCTTAAAATCGGAAAGTCTGACAGCACTAGGACCAGCAATCCTGGCTGCCGTCAGCTTGTGCTGAGTGGTGGCTGCTCCTTGAGGGGTGTGAGCTCCGCCATTGACCGTATGGACTTAAACATAGCAGTCCTATGCACAAGGTATTGTTACCCCTTTTCACAGGTGAGAAAATTGGCACTCGGAGCATTTAAGCAACTTGCCTGAAGCCCACAAATCTAGTAATTGACACCAATAGGCTTTGAATATAGAACTATTTGATTTCAAATTCAGTATATTTGGCCCTCATGCTCTACTTCTCTGGAAGAAGATGATTTGTCAGAACATGTGCTGGTCGGGTTCCATGCTGGTTGGATTCCAGTTATTCCCTTTCAGTCTGTGTGCTACTAGTGTAACACAGCTAATCAGGGAAACAAAATTATAATCCCGAGAAGAACTTTAGGTCTCCTCCCCTGCCCTGTTTTGGTCACAAGAATTACTGGGTTAAAGGATATGAACAATTTCTCAGTTTTTTTCCTCTTTGTAGTGCAAGAGAATCTTCTTTAAAGCCAGCCCACCCTATTTAAAGCCCTATTGCAAAATATTCACTCCTAATTGGTATTTTTGTGTGAACTTATTTCAATGAAATTAATCCCTAAAAAGCCTGTGTGGAGCAGAGCACAGTAAAAAAGTGAGGCATCAAGAGTTGGTACTGCCTGCCCAGCTCTGCCTCTTCTCACTGGAAACTGGACAGCAGACCCAGGTGTTAGACTCTGTACTTGTTAGTGCTCTCTTCTTCTTAAAAAACAGGTGAGATAATGAAGAACTCATCCTTTGATACCATTAGGCTCATTTCCCTGGTTCTGGGGCATTTTTCTTCTTTTTTGTTTGCTTGTGTCCATCTTGGTGAAGGATGTGGCTCACAGTTCAGCAAGTCTGTTAGTACTGTCACTTGGTGCACATTATTAGTTGTTTGGCAGGGAACACTTATTCTGAGAAAACAAAGCAGGTGTAGAAAGTTGAGGGTGTGCTCTCCCGTTGAGCACAGTTCTGTGCACAGGTAGTGGGAGAAGGTTCTGGGTGTGAAGGAGAACCCACGCTTATGCCAGCAGCTGTCCCTTCTCTTGGGTGGTGACACGAGTGTTCACCACCGCTCTCACGCCCGGCTCTGCTTTCCTCCGCAGCTCCGTCTCCCACTCGGTGCTGTCTGAGATGCAGGTGATTGAGCAGGAAACTCCAGTGAGTGCAAAATCCTCCCGCTCACAGTTGGACTTATTCGATGATGTTGGTACTTTCGCCTCAGGACCTCCAAAGTAAGACTTGTTGGGGTGAAAACTTGGCCATTATATTCCTCATCAGGTTCTCTGAGTCACTCCACTGTCTCCCTAGGTACAAGGACAACCCCTTTTCCTTGGGGGAAAGTTTTGCTTCCCGCTGGGATACAGATGCCACCTGGGGTATGGACAAGATGGAGGAGAAGGAGCCAGAAGTGACCATCTCAAGCATCCGGCCTATTTCAGAAAGGTGAGTGGTCTAGGGCAGCACTGTCCAGTAGAACTTTCCATGATGGAAGAGTTCTGTACCTGGACTGTGCGATGTAGCCAATAGGTATGTGGCTACTGAGCCCTTAAAATGTGGCTAGTGTCACTAAGGAGCTACATTTTACATTTAAGTTTAAATAGTCACGTGTGGCTAGTGGCTACTGGGTCAGACAGTGCAGAAATTGGGCTTTGGTTTGAGCTGTGCTTATCGTCACAGAAGGCCGAGCAGCCTCTTGTCCAAGATCCATTTCTTTGGCAGGAGGGGTCTCTGATTTTATGCTTCAATCCTTACCTCCCAAGGGTTATGTGTCTTTGGCCCCATCTTATTTTATTTTTTCTTTTTTTAAATATATATATTTTATTGATTTTTTTACAGAGAGTAAGGGAGAGGGATAGAGAGTTAGAAACATCGATGAGAGAGAAACATCGATGAGAGAGAAACATTGATAAGCTGCCTCCTGCACACTCCCCACTGGAGATGTGCCCGCAACCAAGGCACATGCCCCTGACCGGAATCGAACCTGGGACCCTTGAGTCCACAGGCCAACGCTCCATCCACTGAGCCAAACTGGTCAGGGCTTATTTTATTTTCTTAACAGCTTATTCCATCTTAATCTGGGCAGTATGTTTAATTGATAAATTATCTGAAAATCATCTCTTTGTAAAACGGGGACATAAGTAATGACTTCACTGGGCCACTGAAATGATTAAATGTAATGAAACTTGAAACACCTATCCAGCATCTGTGCATGTCAGTGCTGAGTAGGAGTGACCATACACCTTGTCATCCACACTGGGATGCTTTTTGAGAGTAAGAGGGGGTGCTGTTAATAGTTATGCCAGGAGAGCAAGTATAAATCCAGGCCAACCGAAACATGGTCACCAGTGTCGGGCAGTTGTACTTAGGAAGAGAGTGGCAGTAGTGATATTACGACACCCTAGACCTTGACGAAGCTGTCGAGGTTGGGGCAGAAGCCTTGTCCCCTCCAAACCACATTTCCACGCCACCTAGTGGAGGTAAGAGAAGCTCTCTGGGCCTTGGCTTCAGTGTGGAGAAGGGAGGGGCCTTATCCAGGGGAGAGGACCCCTCAGTTCCAGAGCCAGTCAGATAGGGCCTTGGTAAGCACCCACAGATTTGCCTCTGATCATAATGGGATAGTAACACCATCCCCTGACAGTAATGGGAAGGTTCAGAGATGGTGTTCCACATCTACTCTCAGAGTCACAAACCGGAAGGAAGTGGAGAGCCGGAGCTCAGGCCTCGAGTCCAGTGAAGCACGTCAGAAATTCGCCGGAGCCAAAGCCATCTCATCTGACATGTTCTTTGGGCGGGAGGTGGATACTGAGGTGAGTAGAGTTGTCCAACCTGAGGCTGGAGGCAGCGGGTAGAAGCAAGACCTTCCTCCCTGTCACTAGTTTGGGCTTTAGCACTAGGGTGGCTGGCCTGTATGAGTTCTTGGGACGTCGGCAAAAAGATCCCCAGCCTTTTCTTCACCACAGTATGAAGCCAGGTCTCGGCTACAGCAGCTCTCAGGCAGTAGTGCCATCAGCTCTTCAGACCTCTTTGGGGACGTGGATGGAGCTCATGGAACAGGTAGGGACCAGAGGTGTGGGTACCAAGTGAGGCCTGTGAGTAGAGGGCGAAGGCCCAAGGGGAAGGGCTTCCTGCAGGCCTTGGGGTCACCCCTTTCTTTGCTTTTACAGGCAACGTATCTCTGGGGAATGTGCTCCCCACAGCTGACATTGCCCAGTTTAAGCAGGGTGTCAAGTCTGTGGCCGGGAAGATGGCAGTGCTGGCCAATGGTGTGATGAATTCTTTGCAGGTGAGGCGGGGCTCCTTGACTTGGAGTGGGAGAGGCCTGAATAGTGCTGGAGGCTGGCCTTCACCACATCCAGACACTGCCACCGGGTAGCCCCTCGGCCTGAGGGAGAGCTTGTCCTTTTCCTGGAGGGCAGCTGCACTGATTTCCCCCCATCTTACCACCTGTACTGCTTTCTCCTTTCTCAGCTTCTATGAGATTGGGCAGGGCTTCCCCCTTGGGATCTGGCCACAACCCCTTTCCCGAGTCACAAAAGTAAAACAATCTCTGCCATGGGGAGATTGGTGCCCGTTTCCCCCACACCCCCAATCCCAGTCCTGTCCGGTGTGCTGCGGGAGGGTGTGCGTGCTGGGTTGGAGGTGCTGACTTAGTTTTTTCTTGCCCCATTTCCAGGATCGCTATGGTTCCTACTGATCCAAGCTCCATGGCTCAGGCATATGGTGGTGACAGCAGCAAAAACCCCATGATTACCAGGCCAGGGCTGCTTGCCTTGTGGAAGTTGGGGAGGAATTGTTACTTTATGTGTGGTATGTGAGTGGGGTGGCCTTTGAGGACCTCTGGTGAGGGGATGGGCAGAACCAGCCCTTGGCCTCTGCCTATAGATGGAGCCCTTTTTCCTTCTCTCTCACACCCTCTCTCCTGTGTGCTAGATTATTGTCCTTCCAGTCCTGCTCCCAAAGCTGCTGCTCACTTGTCCTGCCATGCTGGGAGGGAGGGAGGGCATCTCCTCAGGATGGCTTATTCTGGGCCCAGCCCTTCTCTGATAGGGAAAGGGAGAAGTTTAAGGCTCTTTGGCTGGCTCTAAGATCCTTCCAGGTTGTCTGGGGTTTTGGTCCCTGACCTCTGGAACCGGCGGGGACGTCTAGGAAGAGTTCTGCTATAGACCAGCCCCCAGAGGAGGGAGGCTCTGGACTTGCTGCTGCTGTTGCTGCTGCATTAGCCTCTTCTGGGCCCCAGGAGAGGGCAAGGGAGGCGAAGGACCTTCGTCTGGGCCTTACTAAGGGCTAGAAACTTGACCTTGTACCTAAAGGTGTCATTTGGGATCAGACTGGAGGCCAGAGTGACGATCTGTCCCACCACCCCTTTCTATAGTGGTCATTGGGAAGGTTACTTTTCCTGGGTGTGTCCGAGTCCTTTACTGTCCACGTGGACTACAGGACCCCTGTCCCCTCGAGACTCTGTTCTTTTCCCCGCTTGGTGGCCATGGCGAGTCTCATCTGCACTGTGGTGTCCTGCTTTGGATGCAGAGGACGTGGAGATGGAAGCAGGCTGCTGGGGCTCAGCTTTCTTCCTCTACATCATCCTGGGCTTAGGGGGCCTGGACAGCACCCCACCAGTGAGAGCACGAGGTGCCTACAGAGCTGCAAGCCTCGCCCCCTGGTCACTGGGCCATGCACTGTATCATTCTTGGTGCCATCTTCCCTTGCCATGCTGGCAGTGTAGGCCCACTGCACCCCCTGTGGGTTGAGGGTAAGGCTCCCAAGCAACACAGACCACTTCCCACCACCCTCTCCCCCAAAGGGACTGGAGTTTCTTTCTGGACTGTTTGTATTGAAACATAGTGGTGTCAAATAAAGCCCCAGCAGGGCCCTGGGCCCGTTGGTCTGAGTGAAGTGGTGTCCTCGCTGGATCCTGCCTCCCTGCCCAGTGCAGGCCCCTCGCCTCACTGTCTGGGCTCCCACCGATATGGGTAGGGCGTCCGTGCCGAAGCTGAGGGCACTTTCTCCAGGGCCTCCAGCTTGTCTCTTCTCTGAAAGCCAAAGTCCCCTGGCTTCTCGGCCCTGTGCTGCCTCGAGGTCCGGTGCAGCCTCGACCTCACCACCCTGTTGCACGCGGAGGAAAGAGCTGGTGTTAGTTGGCCCCGGGGCTGGGGGCAGGCGAGCACCCTCAGCAGCCTTGCACCTCATCCCAACAGTAGGCTCGATGAGGTGTTTCTCAGTGGAGTTTAATAAAATATACAAACCTTAATGGAATCCTTTTAAATCCAGGAAGAAAGAATGTGTGTGTATAAGCCCCTGGCTTAGTAACCCTCTTCCCCTATAGGGGCTCTCAAAATATCTCTACCATCTTAGGGGTCCGCAGAGTACTTAAACCACTAGTCTGGAAGATGGATTGTTAGAAGGGATGGGTGGAGGGAGCAATGGGATCTCTACTAAGCCAGTGACTTCCAAACCACGGATCCGGGACTTTCAGCTTTGGAATGGTCTGGAGTGTTCATAATCACAGACTTGTGCCCCACCCCAAGCTGGAGTTGAGTAATTTGCATTGTAAACAAACTCCCCAGGTGACTCCCATGCATACAGGTCTTTCCAGCTGCTTTTAACTAGTTGGAGGCCGGATATGGTTGTGGGCCTGGAGAGCTCTCAGGGTAGAGCTTCAGTAGCTCTGGATCCTCCAGTCCTTGGCTCTACCGGGCTTTAGGGGCCGGTTCCTGTTAACTCCAGGGAGGTTACAGTATGTGCCAGGAAAATGTGTGCGCTCAGTCGTGGGACCTTTGGCTTCGGTTCAGAGGAGGCATCCTGCTCTGCTCGGGTCCCTGGGTGGGTTTTGCTTTCTGGAGGACCCCGGCCCTCCTTCAGCCTTGGCTGGAGGATTGTACTCCTCAGGCCTGTGTCCACAGCTGCATCCCCACTGCCCTAACCCTGAGCAGGTGCTTGGCAAATGTTTAATGAAACTGGCTAGAAGGCTCTGCAGTGCTGACCCTTGGTGGCCAGGGCCTTTAACATTATGGGAACCTGGCCTTGAACCCTCAGAGCATGTTCCCTGGAGACCCATTCCGGCTAGGAGAACCTTTCCTTTGAAAGGCTGTCATGTGCAAGAGGTACGCCCCTCTGTTCATTATCTGAGGGAGTTCTCCAGGCTGACTGGTCCTCTGGCCGCCACCTCCTGGAAAAGCTGAGATGCTGGCACCAAAACCCCAAAATCACCCCTTTCCTTCACCCCCCTCCTTCAGTCTAGTGAGTTTAGACTCACCACTTAGCAGACACAAGGGACTTTATTCATTTCATGTTTAGCTAATTGACACAGGAGGCTTGAAGCAGTGTTTGAAAGTGAAATGGTCTTGCCCACCCTTCGTCCCATCATGCTAGTGGCTCTCTCTCCAGTAGAAGGCCACTGTGATTCTGTCCTCCCATACTTGCATCACCGGTGCCACCCCTGACCATGCAAGGCCCTGTGTGGCTATTCTGGTCTCCTTTCCTGGAGTTGCTGTGAGATGAACCTTCTATGGGGGAAAGTCCCTTCCTGGCGACCTCAGTTCAATCTGCCATTAGCTTGGCGCCTGGGACAGGGAGAGTAAGCTGACTTTCTTGAATCACTGCTTGGGTTGGCTGATACCAGAACCCCTGGCAGGTCTTGGACTGGGGCTGTTATTTGGCCTTTCCGCCAGCAGAGGGCAGCATGGCACATGGACAGGAGGAGTTGGGTGGGAGTAGGAGTTGGGTACAGGGTGTTGTAGGCAGGACCCTTCAGACTCCTTAAATCTCGGACTCGTCTGTCTCTTCAGTGGAGCCATCGCTCTCTGCATCCATTTTGCGGGCGTGATGGAGGGGTCTCCAGGAAAAGCCAGCCCGGTGAGGGGTCCGGGAAGGCAGGCAGCTGGCCTCTGGACTGGCACTGACTGAGTTGACCAGGTCTGGGATCTGGGCCAGCCTGAAGAAGGAAAGAAGCCCAGAGGGCAGCAAGGTGCCTCCTGTCCAGAGACCAGGACCTCCACACACTTGCATTTGGATGAAACCAGGGGCTATATTCCCAAGGGATTCAAGGGGAGGATACCTCAGGCCTCTGCTGGCCCCTAAGCTCTTCCCTGACTGATGGGGATGTTATAGATGAGCACTATGACCCACGATGGGGCACGGCCATGTCCGACTGAGGTTTGCCCCCACAAGGGGGCAGCACCTTCCCACCTGACACTTACAGACGGTCCAGCTCCTCATCCATGGCTGGGTCATGCATCAGGTCCCCTTTGTCAGGCAAAGCTCCTAGGAGATAATGGGGGGAGAAGGGGTCATAAACTCAATCAGGCTCCTGTCAGATGCCACTGTGCCCCCACCTTCATATCTGCTGATCTAAGATCTGGGAAAGAGCTTTACAGAGAAGTTTAAATAAGAGGACTGCTATCAGGGCAGGGAATCTTGGGTACTGATGGATAAATTTAACGTTTATAATGTTTAATAGCCCTGCTGCCTGCCCCGCCCCCCCCCCCCGGGGGCAGGGACTACAGCTAAGGAGACATCCCCAAACCTCAGGTCACTGCACAAATAGTGATCCCCTTCCAAGACGAGATGGTGGGTTGTGAGCTGGCCTTCGAGGCCCCCCAGTTATTTGGCTAAAAAGCCAGGGATACAGGATATGGCTCAGGCTAACCACAAAGACCAGAAATTAGATTTGTGCTCCCAAATCAGGGTGACCCCACTTTGAAGACTGGTAAAAAAGGTTGCCTCCGCTCCTCCAGGGGGGTTCCCACGGGTCAGGAGCAGACCAAACTGGCATGGCCGGAGCCAGCAGGAGAGCTGTCCCATCTCTGCTGTCACCCATCGCTCTCAGCTGGTTTCCTCAGCTATAAACCAGGGGAACCAATTCTTTGACCTTGGGAAAAGGTGAGAAGAGAGTCTTGGATGCTCCCCAGAGCTGGGAAGGAAGGTGGAGCTGAAGTTTGCAGATAAAAGGACTCTCACCAGCAAATTGTTGAGGGAAAAGAGCTCATTGGTAGAACGCTGGTCTGTAGAAAGCCTCAATCTTAATTACCTACCTGGCTCCAGTTCAATTCCCATCTTTTCCAAAGCCTTTTTAAATGATGCCTCCTGGTCCCTTTGGCTCTAAGTGGTTTTCAAACTATGTCCCATGGAGCCCTCTCTCATTTTGTGGTGTGGTGGGTGCCTTGACGACCAAGGGATCAAACAGGCTGAGCCCTGGTTGCAGCCAGGGCTCCAGATCGCTCTCATGCCCAGGAGAAGCAGGTGAGGGCAGAGACTACATGCTTCTTCCCATCTCCCACTCCACCAGCATTAGTGCTCCGTGGAAGGGGTTGACTGAATGACTGTCCTTTTTAAAGGCCCTAGAAATAGTGAGGGCATGTGGTTGGTCCAAGCTGTGATGCAGATGCTCCTTAGCTATTCCTTTTCCTTCCTAGTGGCTGTGACTGGTGGAGGGGCCGGGAGGATGGTCTGTTACCCAGGAGTGTGAAAGAGGCCTAAGCAACCCCCCACCAGTCACTTCCAGCTGTGGCCTTGGCCACCAACCTCACGGGCTGAGGTGTCCCCAGACCTGTGCATGCCCCAAGCACTGACTCGGAATAATGGCTGTCAGGTGGCCTCATGGCTGAGAGGGCCCTCAGTCAGTACCTACAGAGCACCCCAGCAGGATCTAGATTGTATAAGATCTAAAGCATCTAGCCCAGTATTGGCCTACTGTGGTGGCATTTAACGAATGTTACATTTCCTTCCCTTGACCCTGTCCCCTCAACTGGCAGAAGGAAGGGGAATTCGGAGTGGAGTGTCTCTTTGGGACTCAGGAATGGGGGATTCCCAGCACACCGGGGTCCTCTCAGAGAGACAAATAAAAACCGCTTGCCCGGCTGGCATGGCTCAGGGGTTGAATGTCGACCTAGGAAGCAGGAGGTCACGGTTCAATTCCTGGTCAGGGCACATGCCAGGGTTGTGCGCTTGATCCCCAGTAGGGGGTGTGCAGGAGGCAGCTGATCAATGATTCTCATCATTGATGCTTCTATCTCTCCCTCTCTCTAAAAATTAATAAAAATATATTAAAAAAATAAAAATACATTAAAAAAAAAGAACCCCTCAAGCTCTGCTGGATGGTGACCTGAAAGCTCTTTCCCTAGGAGGGTAAAGGGTGTGGGAGAGGAGCAGGGTAGGGGGGTAGGGGGGAGGAGAGTGCTGAGAAGGCCAGCCAGTGAGAATAAAATGGTGGACAGAAAAGACTGGGCCAGTGCAGGCCCCTCCCCTCCGTTTGCTCTTTTTCAGATGAATCGGATTCTTTTCCTAACTGGGAAAAGGCCTCCCCAGACACACCTTTGCCCTTGATATGTAATCATCCAGTGCTCCTGAGTAAACACCGTTATGTCTGCCAGGCCCCTCCCTAAATAGAACTGGGGGTTCTCTGGGCTGCATGGAGGGGTCTTCATGTTGGGGCAGGGCTGTGGGCAGGGAAGGCCGTCCCTCCCCATGGGAGTGCGAGAGGTCTGGGAGGGCACAGTCTTGTGTCGTGCATATCCTGGCTTCCTGGGCCTCAGAGTCTGGCCCTGAGAAGTCAAGGCAGAGGTGGTGATGCCCCTCCTCCTGGGACCAGTCGGCCAGTGAGGCCAGTTCCTCTGGGGCTTTGTACTGTGCGGCCACAAGAGGCTGTGGCCACAGCCAGCTCTGGCTTACCGAGGGCTCGGCTGATTCCATGATGCTTGGAGAGAGCCACAAGGAACCCGTAGAAGGTCAGTCTCTGAACGTTGCTTAGGACCTCTTTGACAAGTGCTGGGGGTGGGCAGCTGGAAGAGGGAATACATGCCGGATTCAAAGACGAGCCAGTCTGTGTGGCATCTCTTCATCCACACCTTCAGGCTTGGGAAGGGACCTGAGTGTCCTGGGGGCCCTAAAACCCTGGG